GAGAGGATTGAATGGGGGGAGCAGGGTGGAACACGAGAGAGACAAGCAAGAGGAGGGCTAGGAGCAAAAAGCACGTGGCAGAACCAGACAGGGCGATCGGGCGGGTAGACCTTCACGGGCGGGTCGGGAATGTGGGCCCAGGCGGCTAGGTTGAGCAAGCGGGTTGCTGAAAGCATGAACCGCAAAAAAAACCTCGAGCGCTGGCGCGATTCCCAGAAGAGCCAGATGGAGAGGGCGAATCCTCAGCGTCGAGGGCCCAGCGTCTGAAACAATGTGAGACATTCCCGCGCGAGAGCGCGATTCCTTCGCGAATTGCGAGGAAGCATCGCGACAGCGCGATTTAAATGTGGGAAGAAGCATCAGGCGGGAGACGTCGTTGTTGTAGTTCGGGGCTCAACAACGCAGCGCGGTGACACCAAGATTCCCCTGATGAGAAAGAGGGTGCGAGCCCAGGGGGGAACATTTCAATCAAAAAGTGCAATGGTCACCGGAGGGGCGATCAACAATATCTACTCTGAAAACATTAGAATTCAACGGCTAACGCCTGATATTTGCTCAGAGTTTTCTAAAATTCGCGCTCTCTCGCGGGCCGTCCTTATAATTGATCCAAGGTTCGCGCTCTCGCGTGTGACTTCCTGTTGAGTGAATTCCGACGCCGCACCTCGACACAGGAATCACGCTCTCGCCCGAAACTTCTCACGATTTACTCCAGAATCGCGCTGTCGCTCGAGACTTCCTCGCGGTTCATGCAGGAGTCACAGTTCAACGACCCGCCCGCTCGACCCAGCCGTTCGGGTCCGCCCGCCTGACCCGCTCGTTAGTGTCCGCTCGGCCCGCCCGTTTGGTTCTGCCGCTTGTTTTCCTGCTCCTAACCCATTTCCTGGTAATACCTATCTTGTTTCATCCTTGTCCGCCCTCTTTGTCTCTTCCTTCATCCATCCCTTTCCGTGTTTGAAGGACTGCGCCAACTACGCGTGGCAAATAATCAAGATATGCTCCCAAAGGGAGGACGATCGACGACGAAACGGGCTGGTATCGAGGGCCCGGGATATACGTGTTGAGTGGCACGTGAGTAGATAGGGGCGAACAGTGTTAAAATGATTTATTCCTCACTTCCACACAATAGTTGTTGTTGATATCCCCTGCCAGGTGGCAGTTGCGTTTTTCAATTACAGTGTGGGGCCACCAAACTGAAATCCCGGCCCCGACTACCAACAACACCAACAACAGCATTGACAACACCACCAACAGCAACACTAACAATAACACTAACACTATCACCATCACTAACACTAACACTAACACTAACCCTAACCCTAACAACAACAACAACCACGACTCCTGCCTGATGCTTCCTCACAGTGTATGTGAAAGTCGTGCTCTCGCGCGGGACTTCCTCACAATGTATGGAGAAATCGTGCTCTCGCGTATTTACACCCCGCGCCCCCGACGCTCACGAATCGCACGCTCGCTTTTCTTGTTTCGCTATCTCTCGAAACTCTCGCGCGGTTCATGCAGGACTCACGCTTCAGCAACCCGCCTGCTCGGCTTGGCCGCATGGGCCCGCATTCCCGACCCGCCCGTTAGGGTCTACCCGCCCGATCACCCCGTCTGGTTCTGCCACGTGCGTTCTGCTCCTAACCCCCCTCCTGCTAATCTCGTGTTCCATACTTCTCCCTCCCCTTTCCACCCGTCGTGCCTCCCCTGGTTTAGGGATTACACGAACCACGCGTGGCCAATCAGGAAGATCTGCCCCAAGAGGGGGTACGAACGAAGACGAAGAGGGCGGATATCGAGGGTTAAGGATATTCGTGTTCAGTGGCACGCGAGCGGGTACAAGCGAACAGCCTTGAAATGGTTGTTGATATTGCTGCCTCCCCTGCTCGGTGACCTATCTGTTTTTCACTTATGGTGCTCCTCCCCGGGCCCGAACCTTGTTTTCAACAAAGGGCAGTTTCGGGCCACCGAACTGTGCCCCTGGCCCCCGATTTACAACAACAGCGGCTCCCACCTGAGACTTCCCCACGGTATATTTCAGAAGTTGCGCTCTCGCGCGGGACTTCCTTACAATGTATGCAGGGAGCGCGCTCTCGCGTGGGACTTCCCCGCAAGCTTGTAAGACGCCACGTCCTCGACGCTCAGGAATCGCGTGATCGGTGTTGCTTTTCAAACGGTTTACTTGGGACTCGGGGAATCGCTTGAGACTTCCTCGCGATTCATGCAAGACTCACGCTTCAACAACCCGCCTGCTCGACCTGGCCGCCTGGACCCGCATTCCCGACCCGCCCGTCAAGGTCTACCCGCCCGATCACCCCGTCTGGTTCTGCCACATGGTTTCTGCTCCTAGCCCCCCTCCTGCGAATCCCGGGTTGCATCCATTTCCCTCCCCTTCCATCCGCCTTCCCTGCCCCTGATCTTAGGGGCTGGACCAACTACACGCGGCAGCCAAGGAAAATATACCCCCAGGTGGATACGATCGACGACGAAGAAGGCGGGTATCGAGGGTTTCGGATATACGTGTTGACTGTTGGCACGCGAGCAGGTGAGAACGAACAGTCTTACAATGACTATTATTGTTAAAGGACTCCCCCACCTGTTGCCATTTCTTAAGTTAAACGGCCCTCCCAGGTCCCGCACACGGTTGATCACAAGGGAAGGTCGTGAGCTTCAGGAAATATCGATGGCCTACCCCAGTTTATCACAACAGCGGATCACATTCTGACAATCGCGCTCTCGCGAAGGACTGTTCAACATTTATCCAGTACTCGCGCTCTCGCGTGATATTCCCTCGCACTTTATTCAGACGCCGCGATCTCGATACCCATGAATCGCGCTCTCGCTTGAGACATCTCCACGATTTCCTAGGGAATCGCGGTGTCGCTTGAAACGTCTTCGCGATTCATGCAATACTCACGATTCAGCGACCCGCTCGTTCGGCCAGGCGCCCGGCTGGCCCGTTAGCAACAACGACCATGTTCAGACTGTTCGCTCTTACCTGCTCGCGTGCCAACACTCAACACGTATATCCCCGAACCCTCGTACCCGCCCGCTTCGTCTTCGATCGTGCCCCCCCGTGGGGGCATGTTTTCCTCACCTGAAACAGCTACTGACACAGGGGGAGGGAGGGAAGTGGGAAGGGACAAGGGGGAGACAGAAGGATGGAGCACCAGAGAGATTAGCGGGAAGGGGGTGAGGAGCAGGAAACGAGTGGCAGAACCAGACGGGCGGGTCGGGCGGGCGGACCCGTTGTTCACAAGGGAGAACCTTGAGCTTCAGAACGTAATGATGGCCCCCGCCGGTTTAGCACAACAGCGGACCCCGCTTGATAGTTCTTCCCATCCCAACTTATTCTGGAAATCGGGCTCTCTCGCGCAGGACATCTCAAAATTTATCCAGGAATCGCGCTCTCGCGTGGGACTTCCTCCCAATTTATCCAGAAACCGCGCCCTCGACACCCAGGAATCACGCTCTCGCTTGAGACTCGTCCACGATTTACTTTGGAATCGCGCTGTCGCTCGAAACTTCTTCGCGATTCGTGCAATACTCACGTCCTGGCGCCCGCCCAGCCCGTTAAGGTCCGCCCGCCCGGCCCGCCCGTCTGGTCTGGTTCTGTCGCTTGTTTTGCTGCTCCTCACCCCCCTCCGGCTAATCTCTCTGGTGTTCCATCCTGCTCCGTTCCCCTTGTCCGTTCCCTCCTCCCCCCTTCCCCTGCATCAGTGGCTGGGCCAATTACAAGTGGCAGGTAAGGGAATTATGCCCCCGAAGGGTGGTACGATCGAAGACGAACAGGGCGGGTATCGAGGGTTTTGGATATAGGTGTTGAATGGCACGCGGGCAGAGAAGACCGAACACATTAAAATGGCTGTTTGTTTGTAAGTTTACTTTCCGGCCTCTGGTCTGCCTCGCCAAAGCACGTGACTGTCATCAAACGACTCAGGCTGAGAAGCCAGCTCCGGCGAAACGGTCTAGATCTCACAGGGTCCATGTTGTGATAAACTACACGACGTCGGGGGTCGGGGACAAGGAGTCGAACTTCGATGATTGAAGGCCTCTTTGTTTGTGGGGCGCTTGTGGCCCTTCTTGGGCCTCCAGAAGCCTTGGGGGTCTTCCAAGGATTCCACGAGCTTCCAGAGACATCCAGGGACCACAAAGGCTCCCAGGCACCTCTGTTCGATATGACCCGCGCGCGAGTGCATGCATGCGCGAAGCGCGTGCGCGCGCGGGAAGAGGCGGAACAATGAGGATGGATGAGGGAAGAGGATGAGGAGATGAGGGGGGATGAAGGATGACGACGAGGGGCTGGGGATGGACGAACAGGTGCAACCTTTGACTCCGCCGGCCCCCTGCCCCAGAGACTCAGAGCTGGTCAGAGGCACTCGGCGGCACCATCGTGACAGGACAGCAGACTAAAGTGGAACCCCAGGGCCCGCAAGGCAGGCGCCGACGCGTTCGGCTAGCTGGCGCGCCGCGCCAGAACGAGGGGCACACACATGCGAACAGGAGGGCGGCGGCGGAGGGGGAACACACCAGGTCGAACACGAAAGGGTTCAATCTCGTTGTCCGCTTACCGCAGCAGGAGGATGGGGCGGCGACCTCTGCGGACGGCGCACGACGGCGACCTGGCTCTCCAGGAGCGGCGCCCGTCGCTGGCGTCCCCGAGCGCGGCCATCCGCCAGGGGGGGATGGGAGCGCGCATGCCCACGGCGGCCAATCTTGGCTGCGTGCCCGACGCTATGACGCCCTTCCCGCTCTCTCTTCTCCCCCCCCTCTGGTGTCTGGCGCCGCGCCCGCGGAGGCCCGTGCGGAAGAGCGGCCCCGTCGTCAGCCACTCCTTGATGGGCCGGCGGCCTGATCTCTCCATCTTCCACAGGGGGAGGGCAAGACAGGGTCAGGGCTGGGCGACGGACGACGCCGGACGACGACGAGCGATCGACGGCGGGCGGCGACTGCGACGCCGGCGGCGCCCGTCCGGCCGCGGCGGCGGCGGCCGAGCCCCGGGCGCTGTGGATGGCCAGGAAGCCCTCCAGCCGGTCGCAGCGCTCGGCCTCCTCGCGGGGGGAGGGCCCCCCCTCCGCCGTGCCTCTCGCGGGCGCGGCGGAGCTCTCGAGGCCGGTGGCGCGCGCGGGCCGAGCGGGCGGCGGCGAGCGGCGCGGGCGCGCGCCCCGCCCCGGGCGCCCGCGGCCGAGCGCGTCTCGGCCCGCGGGCGGCGGCCGCCCGCCCCGAGGGCGGCGGCGCGGCGGCGGCGACCTCCGCGGCCCGACGATTGCGCACCGCGGGCGGCGGCGGCGCGGGTGGTCCGACGGGTCGCCGCCGTCCAGCGCCACGGCGTCCACGGCAACTGCATGTGGTCTGCGCGGACACGCTTCTTTTTGTTCGGGGGTCCCCCCAGGCCCCGACGTCGTGATCGTTTTTCACGACTCGGCATCGTTCGGGCGTGTGCATGTTTTTTTTTCTCGGCGGGGACCAGGACCATCGAGGAGCATCCGGGATCATCGAGCAACAAGAAGCACGCACGAAACCGACACATGCATAAGAAATGGACGCCCGAGCAACGGAAAGAGCAGACACGTTTCTTGTTGTGTAGCGGGGAGAATGAGCAAGGAATCGGACGGCAGCAACGCAAAGGCGGCTGGAATGGTACGAGGCTGTTCCTGGTTCACAAAGCCTAATAAGCCCGATGAGAGGGCTTGTCTAAGCCATGGATCAAAGCATTAAGCCATGGAGGCGGGTCTAAGCCGAACTAAGACTGATTGGGCGGTGTCAAGCTGGATTGACGGAAGCGAGTCCAATGGTCGATGATGAGTTTAACCTCACAGGAGCCGCGAGTTACAACCCTAACGTTTGCTGCCGATCATCACCCCACGACGTCCCGCAGCAGCGCAGAATAGGCCAGTGGAGCAGTCCAGGAGGAGGAGGAGGAGAAACAGGAGTCCAGGAGGCAGGTTCCCTGGTGACAGGATGAGAGGAGGAGGAGGAGGAGGAGGAGGAGGAGGAGGAGGAGGAGGAGGAGGAGGAGGAGGAGCAGCAGGAGCAGGAGGAGCGAGCTGCAAACACGAGGCGGGGATGAAAATCCATATCTATCGCCTGAGGAGCCGGCGTCCTGGGACAGCAGCGGGCAGGCCCCCGACGATCGACCCCTCCAGGCGAGGGTTCTGTGTACACATCCCCAGCCTGGACGCATGGCCTGAGCATGCGAGCCACGAGGCCAGGGCCCACCTCCCCTATCTTCAGCGCGCGTGGCGTGGCGGCATCCGATCGCTTCCTCTACAGTCGGGGCGTTGACCTAAGGAACCCTAAACAAGGAACGAGGCCCCTTTTTCCCATAAGTTACACTTCGATCTCCCATGGAAAACCTTACGAAAACCTCAGGCAAGTAGAACAATCAAGGAACACCGAGCCCCTCCCCAACGGAAAGGGTTCCTTCTTCAGCGCCCCGACTGCAGAAGGGGGGGGGGGGGGCGGCTGGCCCCGCCGGCCGTGAGCGGACACCGCTGTGGCCAGCCGTGGACGCGGCCCCGGTCTTCTCGGGGGCCGTCCACGACAAGGGGCGGCCCCGAGGGCGGGTCGCAAGTCGCGGCCCGAGGCATGCGCGCGTCGGGCAAGGAGACGAGGCCTCTCGCGAGGCGGCGCGGCGGCCTCACGCGCCGGCACACCGTGGGCGGCCCGCGCGGCACGCCGCGCTGGAAGCGAGGGGCGCCCACGCGCGACCTCGCGCGGGCAGCCTTGCGCGCCTGCGCCTGTGAGGGCGAGCGCCCGGTTGTTGCGTCGCTCGCGTGCGCGGGCGAGGGGGGGGCAAAAAAGGGGACGCATCGAAAGAACAAGAGTGAATGGGGCCCCAGGACACACACATAAATACACACAAAGAAAAGGATTCCCCGTATTTCCCATGTTTTCTGGGTTTCTGTCTTCCCCCCCCCACTTCCCATAGTTTCCCGTATTTTCTGGGGAATCGACGATTCATTGTGTCTGTGTGTTTTCTTCCCTCCTGAAAGAGGTGGGCCATGAAATCCGGCAAGACATCGTGGCCCCGGCCATGCGCCGCCCCCGACCTCCCTGCCAATCCCGATGCAGCAGAGCTCCGAGCCCACATCCGCCCCAGAGCCTCTGGAGCCACCCAGAGAGAGCCATTCTTGCTTCGGCTCCTCTGGTCCCTGTCGCTCTCGGGCAGCTTCCCACCCGCACTCGCTCGATGATCGGCAACCTCGCTTTTTCAACATCTGCTGACTAGTGCTTGCTGTGAAACCTTGCAGGCGGCAGGGGCGTCTGGACTGATAGGGGCCCCTAACAGGACAGCATGTCAGGAGGGGGGGCACAACGCCAAATCCGTTCAAAATCGGTCCCTGGACCCCTCCTGGGGTCAACCTGGTGCAATTGTTCACCCCAGATCCATTTTTGACAGTCCCGGGTCCCGAAAGCGGCCTGCGGAGGCCGAACAAAGTTTAAACAACAAAAAAAAACGAACCCAGAACCTCGAACCTGCCTGCGATTCTTGCTGTCAGGAGCCAGTGATGGGCCACCTCAGAACAGGACACCCTAGCCGGCTCCAAGTTGAGCCACCTGCTTCAATGAGCAGCTCGCGCCACGCTAAGACGAAACAAGGACGAGGATAAGCTCGGGAAAAGATAAATCAAACATCTCTGAGGTCCGTCGGCTCTGGAGGATGTCTCGGGCGCCGCGGCCTGCTCAGAGCGTTCCAGAACGTTCTCAAGAACGTTCCGGAACGCTCTGAGAGCGTCCTGGAACGCTCCGGTCCGGATTTATCCTCATCCTAGCCCCGTCCGACGCGCGCAGCCCTCGCCCGCGGACGCGGCTCAGAAGGACGCCTCGCCCTCTTGCCTGGCCGCGCTGGCCGCCTGCGCGCGCCTGGCCCCGTAGCCCCCGCGCGACGCCCGGGACGCCGCGTCCTTGGGGAAGCAACAAGAAAGGGGCCCATGGAGGCGCAAAAGAAGAAACATGCCTTACAATATTTTCTGGATCTTCGTCTTCCCATGTCTTACAACATTTTCTGGATCTTCCAATATCTGGATCTTCGTCCTCTCAATATTTTCTGGATCTGGATCCGGATCTTTCTGGATATTTCCTGGATCCAATATCTGGATATTTGCTGGACCAACGACTTCTCATATCTGACAACATTTTCTGGATCTTCACCTTCCCCTCCGTTTCCCAAGCCGTCCAGTGCTTGCATTGGACTGTGCGCTTCTCGGTGCCTGTCTGTATTGTCCTCTCCTGGGGCAAGAACAGGATGCCGATGTCGCTGCGTACTCCGCGGACCTCTCCTGGAGTGCGCCCCGACAAGGCTTTCGAAAAGAATCTGGCCGTGGCGACGATCATCGGGGACCGTCTGACCCGGGTCAACGACGGTCAATCCAGACCCGGGTCAGTCAGGCCTGGGTCAATGCACCCAAGCCTGGGTCAATGCGAAGGACCCTGCAAGATCCTGCAGATCCTGCACATCCTGGCCTGGGTCAACGCGGCCCTGGCCCAGCAAGATCCTGCAAGATCGGGCGCTCTGGCTGACCCCCGTCTGCACTGGCCCCCGCCTCCTCCTCCTCCTCCTCCTCCTCCTCCTCCTCCTCCTCCGCCTCCCCCTCCTCCTCCTCCTCCTCCTCCTCCTCCTCCTCCTCTCCTCCTCCTCCTCCTCCTCCTCCTCCTCCCTCCCCTCCTCCCCTCCTCCTCTCCTCCTCCCCTCCTCCTCCTCCTCCTCCTCCTCCCTCCTCCTCCTCCTCCTCCTCCTCCTCCTCCTCCTCCTCCTCCCCCTCCTCCCTCCTCCCCTCCTCCTCCTCCTCCTCCTCCCCCTCCTCTCCTCCCCTCCTCCTCCTCCTCCTCCTCCTCCTCCTCCTCCTCCTCTCCTCCTCCTCTCCTCCTCCTCCTCCTCCTCCTCCTCCTCCTCCTCCTCCTCCTTTCCTCCTCCTCCTCCTCCTCCTCCTCCTCCTCCTCCTCCTCCTCCTCCTCCTCCTCCTCCTCCTCCTCCTCCTCCTCCTCCTCCTCCTCCCCTCCTCCTCCTCTCCTCCTCCTCCTCCTCCTCCTCCTCCTCCCCCCTCCCCCTCCTCCTCCTCCTCCTCCCCCTCCTCCTCCTCCTCCTCCTCCTGAGCCCCGAGGCCAGACTACCGAAGGGAGCCCGGCCGTGGCGACGAGGGCTCCGGGCCGTGGCGCTCCGGCCAGAAACCTTGGGACAAACACCCTGGCCGTGGCGACTATCGGGGGCGAGCAGAGCGGCACCGGCACCCACCTGCGGCCCCACGAGGCCCCGACGGCGTCCCTGGGGACGGATTTTTCCCTGGTCCGTTCGGGGAGCGAAACATGACATAAGCATGCGAACTCGGAGGTCCGCGCGGATCTCTCGGATCGGCGCTGGAGGACCCCCCTCCCTGGCGCGCGGAGCGCGCCAGGGGCGGCGCCAGAAGCGCCGCCAGGGGGATCCAGCCCGAATCCGACAAATCCGCGCGGACCTCCGGGTTTTTATCTTTACCCTGACCTTCCAGAGTGCTAAAGAATAGCCCTCCAGACCTATAGACTTATCTGGGCTGCCTAAAACCTCGACAGGAATTAAGATATCGAGATGCTGGTGCTATTTTTTAGCCCTCCTGGAAGGTCAGGGTATGTCACTGTTCGTTCTCCTAAGAATGTTTGATGGCCCTGGGGCCCGATGACTGGCCCCAGGGCAGGAACATGGAAAAACTGTCAGGATCGAAAGCACATGAAGGGGCCCCAGGACACACAAATAAATACACACAAATAAAAGAATTCCCCATCTCTTCCCATATTTTCTTGGTTGTTGTTTTCCCCCCACTTCCCATATGTTCAAATATTTTTTGGGGAATCGACGATCCATTGTGTCTGTGTGTTTTTCCCCTCCTGATCATCGTGCGAAATTGCGACTGGAGACCTAGACCCGGCTTTTCTGATGCCTTTCTCCGACCGGATCCATCCGTGAGGCCCGGAGCCAAGCGAACACGCCCAGTGGGACAAAAATTGCAACTCCCCGATCTCAGGGAATCGGCAATATTTATTCACGACATGGAGCCTCGGAAGGACCGTTTCATCCCGGGTCGCTCTTTTTGGCGGACCCATTGAGGCACCCTGCAAAAACCCAAATGGCGGAACACCTTCCGTCAATATTTTCTTACGACGCGAGGGTGTCAGGGCTTTCCCCTTCGGCGTCCCCTGAAACCGGGCGAAAACGCCTGGAGTGAAACAAGTGCAGCGCACGGGTGATTTTTGGGACCCCCAAAGGTCTCGACCCATGCCCTGGGACCGCTTTCTCTTCCCGATGAATCGCTTTTTGGCGTCCCGGGGCCCTGCAAGGGCCCCAAGAGGCCGAAACCTGCGACCAACCTCCGCCTAGATTATCTTTCGAAACGTGGGACCCTGAGTTCCGACGTTGCAAACGAGTTGCAACATCGCAAAAGGTCAAAGCCGGAGCCCTGGACCCCATCTTTCCACCTCATTTTTCGAGCCGGACCGATCTGTGAGCACCCCAGAGCCCGACGTTGAGCGACAACGCCCGTTGTGAAAAGTTGCCATGCAAGGATCTTAGGGGAAGTCTGTGTACCTTCCCAGGCCCCCGACGGCATCTCTTTGTTCAGCACGCGACCCCCAGAGGTCCGGACCCATTCCCCGGGACCGCTTTGCTATCCCGACTCGTTCGTGGCAGGCCCCGAGGCACGGTAAGGGCCCCCCCCCGGGGGCCTGAAATGGTAGCGAACAACCTCCGGGCGTGACTCTTTCACAGCGCGAGGGGCTCTGGGCTCTCTGCCCCCAGACTCAGGGCCCCGTAGACCCAGACACGCTAGACCCGGACACCCAACCTCTCTCGAAACCAATTCTTCCAAACGGCGGCACGAACAAACTACTGCACTGCAGCATTCTCAGAACAAACCCGGGCACAGGCCTCAAGAGCCTGCAGGACCCCCCTAAACCCGGACACCATCCCGAATCCTGCAGTGCAGCAAACGAAACGTGCACGGGTGCTGAAAAACGCAACTTTGCAGGAAAGGAGGCCGTTTCCTTGGTTTTCCGTGTCCTGGCTTATCTTTGGCGGCGCGCAAAAGGGCGTAGGGGGAGGGGGGAAGGCTTCTTAGAAACACCCTGCTTCTTAGAAGGCCTCGGCCTTCATTGCGTCTATAGAGACGGCCCGCGCCTTCTGAGAAGCAGGGGTGCTTCTAAGAAGCCCCCCCCCTCCACCTATACCCCCCTCTGCGCGTGGCTGATATCTGTGTCCTGGTCTCCGGGGGCCTGACTCGGGGATGTTCAGAACCTCCTTTAGTAAAACGTGGTTTAGTGAAAACGACCCGAGGCCCAAACCTGGCGGGCGCAAGCCTGGAAAATAACGGCCACGGCGCCTTCTCGAGAACCGAAAACGGACAATTCACGAATCGACGTGTCACTGTTGGGGGTTCTGTCCACCCCCGACTGACAGACGGTCCTCCGAGGGCGCCCGGCTGCTGGGCGGGCTGGCGGCGGGCTCGGCCGCGGCGCCGGGAGCCGCGCCGCCGCCCGCGGCCGCGCCCGCGGCGGGCACGCCCTGCGCCGCGGCGCGCTGGCTGCGGTAGCCGCCGCGCCGGTCGCCCTGCAGAGAGCAAAGCGGCAGGAACGCTACGGTCGGGGAGACGTAAGACTCGGGTACGGAGGACTCGGGTTGGCCCGACGGGGACCATCATAAAAATGACGAGACCCACTCTGAAATTCGACGCGGGCTTCCGCTGCAGACATCCCACGAAAACGGGACCGTCAAAATCCAGGACGCGCTCGTAAAAAAAAAGTCGGCAAACCCGAGTTCCGGCTTACTCGAGTCTTACGTTTCCCCGATACGGGGAGGGCACTGAGCAGTGCAGCCGTCGTGCTGCCAAGAGCGCATCGTGCAGCCGAACATGTGGCCAACAAGAGCTGTCGTTTCGGAAATCTGGGCCAGCTTCCCGGGCTCGCTCCACACAGAGCAGCTACAAGAACGCTACGGGGGGGGCACTGAGCAGTACAGCCGTCGCGCTCCCATGAGGAACGCATCGTGTAGCCGAACATCTATCCGACTCAGCAAACTATCATTTAAGGTATCTGGGCCAGCTTCCAGGGGTCGGCCTTCACCAAGTAGCTGCAAGAACGCTACGGTGAGGGCACTGAGCAATACAGCCGTCGTGCTGCTCTAAGGAACGCATCGTGCAGCAGAACATGTGATCAAGAAAACTATCGCTTAAGACACCTGGGCCAGTTTCCAGGGGTCGCCCTGCACAAAGCTTACTGCACCGAACTTGCAGACGTGCTGCAGCAGATGTTGAATGGATTTCTGTCGATGCAAAACTCCAAAACGTCGAGTGGAAAACGAACTGATTTTTGCATGGATCGTTTCAGTCTTCGTTCCCGGCCAAAAAAAAGCCCAAACTCATCTCGAAATCCAGAACGAAATTATCCAAGACACTCCGGGCCCATCCTATTGCTTTCCGAGCGAAACCCGCTTTGCGATGTTGGCGCCATGACAAAGCAAGTACAGGAACGCTACGGTAATGGCACTGAGCACAGCCGTCGTGCTGCCATACAGATCGAATCGTGCAACCGACAATTTGATCAAGAAAACTATCGCTTAAGACATCTGGGCCAGTTTCCAGGCGTCGTCCTGCACAGAGCAGCTACAAAAACGCTACGGGGAGGGCACTGAGCAATACAGTCGTCGTGATGCCATCAGGAACGCATCGTGCAGCCGACATTATGACCAAACGAACCATCGATAAGAAATCTGGGCCAGCTTCCAGCGGTCGCTCTGCACAACTCAGCTACAATAGTGCTACGGTGAAGGCACATAATAATACAGTCGTCTTGCTGCCATGAGGAACGCATAGTGCAGCCGAACGTATGATGAAAGAAACTATCGTTCAAGACATCTGCACCAACATCCCGGAAGCTTCTTGGACCAGGCCTGGACAATGCTCTGCCCTTAACACTGGAAGTGGGCACGGGCTCAGGGGACTGCGCCAGCTTTCCGAAGACCTGGCTTGGAAGCGCTCGCCCAGCTTTTCGGGAGGAGGCTTCTTCGTCACCTGCTCGACCGTAGTGAACAAAGGGGCTGCTCTGGCCATGGCGGGCCCAGGCCGCAGCCATGCTCCACATCAGAAGTCGAAGGAGCGGCCCGAACACCCGAGCCCCTCCTGAGCCCAACGCGGTCCCGATTTCAGCGTCTTGGCTGAAGGCGGCGAGCCTGGGGGGAATGCAGAGGGGGCGGGCCTCCTCAGAAGGCTTGGACGGCTCCGGGCCTTCTGAGGAGACTTCTGAGCCTGCCCCGGAGACGCAGAACAACTTCTCAGAAGGCGCGAGGGCTTCTGCGAAGCCCCGCCGTCTTCTGAGAAGGCCTGCCCCCTGGGCGCGATGCAGAGACAAAGAACCAATGGATAGGAAATCCAGGGTCTGGAAGCTGGCGACACGCCGATTGAGGCTCGGTCATGGATATCACCGGCGCCTCCTGGGCGCATTCCTCAATCGACGCCCCAACCGTACGTGGCAACCCATGGAAGCCTCCCATGTCATCTGGCTGGTTCCTGGGATTCGACGCTAACCGGCGCTAGCCGACGCTAATCGGCGCTAAGTCCACACCAGTCGGCGCTGAATCGGAGCTTTCTGATCGACTGCCAAACGATAGCGCACGCCGATGCACTCTAAAGCCGGAATCCCACCAGCCCTCTGGGCGTCGGTGGTTTAATGAGTTTCCTCTTCCACCCCTCCCTCTTCCCCTTCGGGGAGGGGTTTACCCCTCCCCCTACCCCCTCCCCACTGACCTGGACAGGAGGGGCGGGGAGCGGTCAGAGCGGTCAGGGCGTCTGAGAGGCGTGGCTGGTGGGGATACGCGAAGCGTCTAGAATTTCGAGGACACACAAGGCCCTCTTGAGTTGCTGGCGAACGAGCTGGTCTTACGCACGAGGACATAGCCACCTCACGCGGCGGCTCACGCGGGCCGCCAGCGCGGCACACCCGCTCGGAGGAGGCGGCGCTCGCGCGCGGCCTTGCGCGGGACCCCTGCGCGCGAAGGTCCGCGCAGTGGAGCCCGCTTTCCTGCACCGCTCATGGGAACCCTGCTCTTTGGACGCCCGAAATGGGTACCGAAAAAATGGGTACAATGCCCAACAACAAATGTTGTCCCAAACCAACAGCGGCCGCTGTTGGGCGGGCGGCCTTCTGTCTCAAATGGACACAGGCCGTGGCGGCGCGGACAGCGAGTCCTGTTCAAAATGAACAGAAACTGCTGTTGGGCATTGTACCCATTCTTTCCGTACCCACGTCGGTCGTGCAGATACTCCACGCAAGTCCGACCTCCACAACACCGGCCCCGGCTCGGAATTCGAAGGAGCCCCAGCGGGGGTGTCCGATGTCCCATCGTCGATTGGGCCCGCAAAAGATGGAGACCTCCTTGATGGGGTCGGTGAATCGCACCGCATCGGCGATACATCGCCGATGCATCGGCGACGTATCGGCGACATCGGCGACATCGGCGATGCACCAGCGACGCCGGCGTGGAGAAACTCGGGCTCCACATCGAGCCGAATCGCCGATGCATTGACGATACGGCGTGATCCTCCGACCCCATCTGCTCGGACCCCACCTGAGAGGCCTGGAAAGCCGCAACCCTGCGGCCCGAGGTTTCGAGGCCTGGAAGGCCGCAATCCGCAACGGCGCCGACGGTTTCGAGGAGGAGGAGGAGGACGAGGATGAGGAGGGGGAGGAGGAACAGGAGGGGAAGGATGGAGGATGGCGGGAGGCGAAGGAAGGAGGAGGAAGGAGGAGGAGGAGGAAGAAGGATGGCGGAAGGAGGAGGAGGAGGAAGGAGGAGGAGGAGGAGGAGGAGGAAGGAGGAGGAGGAGGAGGAGGAGGAGGAGGAGGAGGAGGAGGAGGAGGAGGAGGAGGAGGAAGGGTTCGAAATTGGGCGCAGACCTGCAGCGGCGCCGACGGGTCGGCCTCCTGGCCCACCATGGTCCTTGGAGGGCGGCGCGCACGGGCCCAGCCTTCCGACGATATGGCTTCTCTTTCCGTCGTGGACGTTTTCTTATTCGGCGTTTCGACCTTGGGCGCAAGGGGGGGGGAGGCCCAGCCTTCCGACGATATGGCTTCTCTTTCCGTCGTGAACGTTTTCTTTCTCGGCATGTCGACCTCGGGCGCAAGGGTGGAGGGAGGGGGGGGGGGTCTGGCTCCGGACCTCTTGTCAATGCGACTGTCTGCAGCAGTGCGTCTTGTGGGGTAGACTCCGCCTGCTGGAAGCAGGCGCCTAAAAAACAGCACAGGTCTACGTACTCCATTGGGGGGGAGGGGGTGCAAGGGCCCGCGCCAATCGGCAACACAATGAATAAGAAAACGATCACCTCCTTGTGTTGTTCCTTGGTTTCGGCCCTCGGAGGCAATTATCGGGCTCCCAGAACCATCAGACATGGATCCCGGGCGAGACGCGTCCCACAGTGAACGGGTCGACACCTCCGGGGGTCGCGCATGGAACGACCACATCGTCGGTTGTCTGGAGAGGGGTGGGGTGGGGGGGGGATAGCGGGTGGCCTTTGACCCCGAGATACCCAAGGCGTCGTGCAAACGCAGCGGCGCAAGACTTTCGTCGTTCTACCTGCCTCCGCGGGCGCCCACGGGGCGCCGGGACTGTCCGCAAGCGGCTCGGGATGGACAGAGCGGCCTTTTGGTAATGGGCCGAAGCCTCCGTGACCCCCACAAGCTCGGAAGTCTGAGGGGGGGGGCTTTCAAGAGAGCAGGGGGCCTTCTCCAGGAAAGCCCAGGGTGCTTCTAGGAAGGCTGCCTCGTGCGGGAGTGCTCTTCAGAAGAGACCTCTGAGAGGGCCATCCCCCTCGCCCTGACCCCGCCCCCTGCGCGCCGCCGGCTCCTCCCAACCCGCAGCACCCAGAAGATGGCGATGAGGAAGACGGCCGTCACAAACGTGCCGATGAGGATCGACATCATCGCGTCCCGGCTCTTCTCGGTGCCCTTCGCCGATGTGGCGTTGCCTGCGTCAGCCCCCACCACGGTGGCGTTGGTGGCGTCGGCGCCGGGTGGCACCGACAGCGTGGCGTTCCCTGCGGGAGGCCCCCCAGCGCTGGCGGCCACTGTCGCCGTGGGATTCCCTGTGGGAGGCCCCCCAGCGCTGGCGGCCGCTGTCGCATTCGCGGCGGTCGTGACGTTGGATGTGTTCGAGCTGCTGGAGGCGACCGGCGGCTGCGTCGCGGTCCCATTGGCGGCTGGGGTCGCCAGCGCCGTGGCGTTCCCTGCCGCAGCCCCCGCCGAGGAGGCGTTCGAGCTGCTGGATGCGTTGGAAGCGACTGGCGGCGGCTGCGTCTCGGTCCCATTGATGGCTGGCGTCGACGGCGCGGTGGTGTTCCCTGCGGCAGCGCCCGCCGAGGGGGCGTTCGAGCTGCTGGAGGAGTTGAAAGCGCCTGGCGGCGGCTGCGTCCAAGTCCCATTGGCGGCAGGCGCAGGCGGTGCAGTGGCGTTCCCTGCCGCCGATGCTGGCAATGGTGGTGGAGCAGTTGCGTTTGCTGTAGGCGGCGGTGGTGGGACAACGACCGCCACCGGCGGGGATGGAGCCGGCGCAGGCGCGGGGGGCGGCAGCGGCGGCGGCAGCGGCGGTGCCTGTGCGGGCGCGGGCGGAGGTGCTGGCGCAAGTGCTGGGGTGGCTGCCACTGCTGGTGCTGGCGCAAGTGCGGGCGGCGACGGCGGTACCAGTGCGGGCACGGGCACCGGCGGTGGTGCCGGCGCAATGGCGGGAGCTGGCAGTACCAGCGCAGGAGCCGGCGCAGGCGCTGGCGGCGGTGGCGGCGCAGGCGGGACAACGACCGCCACTGGCGGAGGAGGCGCCGGCGCAGCCGGCAGTGGCGCTGGCGCAGGCGAGGGGTCAACCTTGTCGTCGTAAAGGGCGGCGCCAGCGCCAGGTGGCGGCGCTAGGGTCGAGGGCGGCGCTGACACCTGCCCAGGTTCGGGTAGCTGAGTTGGCTGTCGCCTTATCCAACCCTGCGATCCAAGCTCATCGACCCTTCCGTGCGGACTGATGCTGGCCCAGGCTGGCACAGTGTCGGGGACTTGAGGAGTGGCATGGCGCCTCATCATGCGCCCGTCGGGTTCCACTTGCATATCGTAGGTATGGCTTTCGACGAGACCTACAGGCTCTCTAGCGGTAGCGGAGGCCAGGGCACCGCCCAAGATCGATGCGACAGTGAACAGGCAGATGTAGGCATTCACGCTGCGGGCATCCATGCTGAGCGTCGGATGCATCGCCAAGCGGGTTTCTTTGGGGTCCACAAGCCTGCGCTTACGGAGCCTGCGCGGATGGCGGCCGAGCGGGGTTGCATTCCCCACCTCCGCCTTGAGCCAAAACGGCTTGCGGCAAGTTCGTGCCGTGAAGACCCCTTGCGTTGGTTTTTTGACGCCGCGTGAGTCGCTCAAGCCTGAGCGATCGGCTGCTTTCCGATCGCCAGAGCGCTCCATACCTGGCCGATTCTGGGCCCCTGGCGGCGTTCGCCCTTGCAGGGGGGGGGGAGAAGCGAGCAGCAGGAAAGGAGGAGGAGGAGGAGGAAGAGAGGAGGGGGAGGAAGAGAGGAGGGGGAGGAGGAGGAGGGGAGAGGAGAGGAGGATAATGAGGAGGAGGATGAGGAGGAGGAGGAGGAGGAGGAAGGAGGAGGAGCGGAGGAGGACGAGGGCGAGGAGGAGGAGGAGGAGAGGGAGGAGGAGCAGCAGGACAGGGGGGGGGGGAGGCGCCCACGGGCGGACACCAACTGGGCACCAGGCGAAGCCCTGGCGGACTCATCCCGCGAGCGGGGCGGCCACGAGGCGCCCGCGGGCGGCCGCGAACCAGGCACCGGCGGAAATCCTGACAGACCCAGTCCATTGCGTTGCGACCGAAGCCTGGACCCCTGGTGCAATAGGGGAACAAAAAGTGTCACAAACATGAAAACTCGGAGGCCCGCGCGGATTTCTCGGATCGGCACTGGACTCCCCTCCCTGGCGCGCGGAACGCACCAGGGGCGGCGCCGGAGGCGGGCGCCGCCGGGGGGCCCCAGCGCCGATCCGAGAAATCCGCGCGGACCTCAGAGTTTTTATGTTTATGTCACTTTTTGTTCCCCTATGCAAGCACCGTTGGGGAAACGTGTGAGAGGGCCGAACTGATCACATGCTTCCTGATGGCTATGGCAGGCGGCAGCCCACCCAAGCTGCGGCCCAGGCAGCGGGCGCAAGGCTTCTCGGGCATGGTTCCGATTTCCCTAGCTGCGCCCGAGCTGCTGCGGCTGAGGCTGAGTCACCTGTACCATACCCTACATCTGCGATTAAGCTGCGGATACATTGTGGATGCGTCTTGAGCGCTGGTTTGATCAACGTGCTTTAGGCTGCAGGTGCGGCTCTTATTATATAGGAGTCGAACGCTGCCCAAATTGCAGCCCAATATCAGGGCGCTCTGTAGCTTCCGCCATGAAGAGATAACATGTTGAGGCACGAACCAGATAGCGTTGCAATGCAACACGCACCGTGGTGCATATGATCATTGTGCGTATGGGGGTAGGTACTAATACAAGAAATATGTCGGTGGTTTGCTTTACGCCCTGTCTGCTAATTGCGTGAGTGTGCTCTGGGACTCTGCACCTTGATTTCAGGCAACTTGCATGCGCTCTGGGCCCTAGTGGCTGCGGGCCGACGCCGTCCATAGGACAATGCTGCCAAACAAAATAATTGGAATCGTACATCTCGGTTCGCAAGCCAAATCCCATCACGCGTCCAGCCTCAAACATTCCAGGATGCTGGCAGAAGAAACGCACGACGCATGCTTTTGGAAAGGGCGATATGCGATCGAGATGGGAGCATGCAATCTGGAGCCTGGGCAAGACATCACTGTCGACGATTAACATCCACGGGCCGCCAAGACACCTGAATGGCAATTCCGCCTAACAGCCGTTTCGCTGAGCATGTTCCAGGGGGTAATGTATTACCTGCGTTATGTAATTGTTGATGTCGGGCAACCGTGGCAAAACATTCTGCACTGGTCCGTGCCTCGCACTGCAGCGCCACAATACATGTTGTTTGGCGTTGGTGTCTATCCGTGGCTCGCTTCACTTCGCGCTGACATGTGAGATCCCCACGTACGCGCTCTTTCTTGTCTTCTGAAGAAATTGACTGGCGGTTCTGGGCTTAGCCCTACTCCGAGTTTCTTAATAAGCGTCGGGGGAGCGTCACCCCCGCTGACAGCCCCCCCCACATCGACCCCCGTCGCGGGCAGCCACCGCGCGCCGAAGGCGATCCGACCCTGGTCCCGGCGCGACGGCGAGGCGAGCTTGACCCCCGTCGGGGGGGTACCCCCCCACGCTTATTGAGAAACCCAAAGCGATCGTCGCCCATTGGCGCCTCGTGGGCTCCCCGTGCGCTGACTGGCGGCCCCGCATTTTCGCCAGGCTGCCGCTCGTGGGGGCCTCGTGGGCGCCCCGTGCGCTGGCTGGCGGTCCCCAGTTTTCGCCCATTCGCCGCCCGCGGGCAACTCGTAGGCGCCTCGTGCGCTCGCGGGGTCGGTTTTGGATGTTCGCCTGGTCGCCGACCGCGCACGCCTCGTGTACGCCCAGCGCGCTAGCTTGCACGACGTCGATAGGACAATATAACTATTTTGCACCACATCTTTGCGCAACCTAAATTTTCCCTCCTATAAAGAGAATAGACTCTACCCACCCACCCGGGATTATCGGTTCCCTTTTCTTCGTAAACCGATGTACGTTTGATTATGCCCCATTGTCCATCCTTAATATGAACTCGTACCATCTCAAACGATCTAGTTTTGCCCCCCATCATCCCCTGCAAAACATACTATGCGCGCGCACTCGTTTATCACAAACCACCAGCTTTCAATAATCACGTTTGCAAAATATGTGACGCAATACACACGCGCGCGTCGTCGCGCGCGCATGCCGAAACCCTTTTCAAACACGTTCGGTATCGTAAAGGTTTCAAAACCGAATGTTCAAACAACAACTATGTATATGTGTATATATATATATATATATACAGATGGCTTCGCAATGCAGAGTTACAAAACAACTTGCGCGCGCGCTCTTGCGAACTCGTAAGAACACCGCATGTTGTTTTGCTCCATCGTGTCGAGAAAATGCTGCGGCACGGGCTTCGCGCGCGCGCAAGTCGAAATCGTTCGAATGCCCTTGCGCGCGCGCCGTCGGGAAAATCCTTCTTGCAAAAAGCGGGACGAAGTGCGCGCTCGCGCGTCGTCGCGCGCGCACGCCGAAACCCGTCAAACAGAACTTCGGTTTCGTAACGAGTTCGCAACGGAGTGTCGAAAATACGAATCAAAACACATGGTTTCGCAACACTCGTTTTTGATACAAAACATGCGCTCGCGTTCTTGCGAACTCTCAAGAAACCCATCGGTCGGTCAACATGTGCATGGAATTCTGTCAAATGGCCTATGGCGCCGCATGCCGACATCATTCGCACGCCCTTGCGCGCGCGCGCTGGGGCGCACGATCCGTGTCAAATCATACTGCTCTCGCGCGTCGGCCGCGCGCGCATGTCGAACTATTTCCAAAACCTTCATCACCGACGTCGGGACGCCGTCATCGTCGTCGGCATGATGAACATCGGCGCCCGCACAGGCCGCGCAATCGCCGTTGCCAACCTCGTCACCATCATCCTACTATCAGCATCGTGTCTGCCGTTGTCGAAGTTGCCATGGTACCGCGTCCGCCCAAGTCGCAGCGTCGCAGTGGAGTGCAAGTTGGGATGTGCCGAGCGGTCAGCGCCACGGCGGCTGCGTCGATCACGCCAAGCTAGCTGGCCGCTGCGCGCGCGTGCTTGGGCTGGCGCAGCCGCAGAAATGGACCAGCAAACGCCAGGCACTCATCGCAATCGCCACCGCATGGGTTTTGCAAACCAACTTGCGGGTGGGTGGGTGGGCTGTTTGCACGAGCATTGGATGTGTCAAACCGCTGGTAAAACAAATCAATTGCAGCACGCAGCTTGCGACATTCAGGAATGCAGCACATAGGTTGCACCTCGCAGATACGAGCATTGCACGGCATATCATAGCATGCGCTACGGCGCATGCGCCACGCAGGATGCACCGCATAAATCGCACCCAGGGCATGCACATATGTTGGGTGCAACTCAAAACCACACGCAGCCTACCCCACATAGCTTGCAACATAGAGATTTGACCACGCAGCTTGCACCACACAACAAGCAACACACAATATGCACCACGTGTATTCTCCGCTCACAAGAAGACGTGTCCAAACCACAATCTCCCCCCTGGTTTGACCGTTCCCCCTGGGACACTGCACAATTCACATGACGATGCCTCATCGCCTGTTTTTCATATGGACTCATACCATCCCAGACCAACTGGTATGGGCTCACTCGTATCTCTCTCATGTAACACCATGCGCACACCCGTTTAGCTTGAAGGATCATGTTGCAAAGCCACGCGCAACACGCCACAAAATCCACACGCGCGTGCACATGCCGAACTCACACCAGACAAGTAGAACTCTGCAAACACTTCAACAATAATGCATGGAACATATTCTGGATCTGGCACATGTTCTGCCCACGCGGCCTTGCTGAAACCACCGGACACAATACGGAACTACTGATCTCGTCCATACACCGCATTCTCATCTCACCACGCGGTGCGTCGCTTTGTATGAACAGCATGCGCCAAGTGCAAGAATCCGTGTCACAGAACGCCATGTGGGCAACTTTCGCGCGACACCACGCGCGCGTCAAAATCCCCTCAAAACCATATGTATTTGAAGCGTGTAAAGACATATAAACATACACACAACAGTTCTTCAACAGAGGATTCCCCAGATGTCTTAAATTTCTGTGCGCGCACTTCCCCACGCCCTCATCAATGCGACCGCGTCACAGCGGTCATCCTGATCGTCTCTCGCCCCCACAACAGCCACCAACATCACAATCATCTCCATCGTAGACGCACGGCCATCAACATCGTCACCATCGTCACTAACCTCGGCGCTGTCATTGGTTTTGCTTTCGTCATCATCGAAGGCTTCATCACGAGATTGCGTCCGCCCGGGTCAGAGATCCGCATTGAAGCGCCCGCGCGCCAGCACGGCCTTCGAGACGCGCTGGGATATTCCTATCGGTCAGCGCCAGCGCGGCTGCACCAACTGTGTCAAACCAACTAGTCGCTGTGAGCGCGAACGCGTGCGCGCAAGCAAGGCCGTAAAGATGCGCCAGCGAATGCAAAACAGTAGCCGCAATCGTGGCCGTAAAATTTTCGCCACACAAGATCCGGGTGGGAGGGTGGGGAACATTGCAATCGAGTGGACGGCTCCAAATCTTACAACGTGGAATCTCCTTCCAACGCAGAATGTGGTCTCCCCCCCGGAGTTAACGCCCCCCCCCTCCCCGACACTGCACACTACTGCAAATTAAATGTGATAATGTTTCGTCATTTATTTTCCAATTCAGTCTATAACATCTCACGAAGGCCCAGCATCGCTCCCTCATCTCTGTCAAACATACAATACGCGCACATTTGTAAATCGCACACATCATTTTTCAATGATCCATTGCAACAGAAACTGCCCAGCGTCCACGCGCGCACATGCCGACACCATGCCACACACACGCAAAGTGTTGCATTGATTTCTAGAATCCGCATAATTACTCTAATTAGTTCTTCCGCCACAGATTGTGCAAATGTTCTGCCTGCGCGCATTTGCTGAATCCGACTGGAAATCACATGTTTCCAACAATCTCGTCCACAACCCGCATTCTCACCTCACCATGCGGTGCATCCACGTTGATCCAGCATGTGCCCAGTGCATGAGCCCGTGTAAAATTAGCCTGGCGAAGATTCCAACCATCTGCATCTGTGAGTGCCGCAGCTGGCACGACGCGTGTGAGGGGTGTACCGGAATGGTGGTGGAACCGCATGCGAACCCTGCCAGTGGGGCCTTAGGTGGAGCCCCCTGTGGGCCCACGAAGCGTGTGAGGGGTGTGCCGACATTGGGGGTACAAGCGCATGCGAACGCTGCCTTCGGTGAAACTCCATACGGGGCCACGAAAACTGTGAGGAACAAGCCACAAAATAAGGGTGAAACCCGAACCGTGCTACTGGGGCCTTCGGTGGAGCTCCCTGTGGGGCCACGAAGCGTGTGAGGGGTGTGCCGAAATGGGAGTGGAACCGCATGCGAACCCTGCCACTGCGGCCTTCGGTGGAGCTCCATACGGGGCCACGCACGTGTGAGGGGTGTGCCGAAATTAAAGAGTGGAACCGCATGCGAACCCTGCCACTGGGGCCCTCGGTGGAGCTCCTTATGGGGTCACGAAGCGTTTGAGGGGTGTGCTGAAATGGAGGTGGAACCGTATGCGAACCCTGCCAGAGCCTCGGGCGGAGCTCCTCATGGCGCCAAGGAACGCGTGAGGGGGGGTATGCCGAAATGGGGGTAGAACCGCAACGCGAACCCTGCCACTGGGGCCTTCGGTGGAGCTCCCCGTGGGGGCACGAAACGTGTGCGGGGTGTACCGACATGGGGGCGGAACCGCATGCGGACCCTGCAAGTGGCCTTCGGCGGGGCTCCCTGTGGGGCCACGAAACGTGTGAGTGGTGTACCGAAAGAGGGGTGGAACCGCATGCGGACCCTGCAACTTGGGCCTTCAGCAGAGCTCCCTCTGGAGGCACGAAGCGTACGAGGGGTGTGTCGAAATAGAGGTGGAACCGCATGCGAACCCTGCCACTGCGGCCTTCGGCGGAGCTCCCCGTAGGGCCACGGAGCGTCTGAGGGGTGTACCGAAAGGGGCGTGGAGCCGCATGCGAACCCTGCCACTGGGGACTTCGGCGGCGCTCCCTGTGGGGGGCACGAAACGCGTGAGGGGTGTACCAACATGGGGGCAGAACCGCATGCGAACCCTGGCACTGGGGCCGTCGGCGGAGCTCCCTGTGGGGGCACGCAACGTGCGAGGGGTGTGCCGACATGGAGGTGGAGCCGCATGCGAACCCTGCCACCCAGGCCGTCGGCGGAGCTCCCAGTGGGGCCCTGAAGCGTGCAACGCGGTGCAAGGGATGGGAGGGGGGAGGAGGCGGGAGGAGGAGGAGGAGGAGGAGGAGGAGGAGGAGGAGGAGGGGGAGGAGGAGGAGGAGGAGGAGGAGGAGGAGGCGGGAGGAGAACGCGGGGCGCCGCTGCCTCTTCAGAGCGAGGACCCAACACCACAGGGATGGATGGGAATAAAACCATGCGGGCCGCAAGCGCGCGCCGCCACGCGAGCGTGCCTTTCTCAAAACCACTGGCTTCCGAAGAAGTTCCAAGTAGAACTCTTCAAACACGTAATGCGGGATGACGATTCATAAAAAATGTGAGAGAACGATTAAAAACATAGTTTTCTGCTATTTCTGCACAGTTTTCTGACCGGAGGAGAACGATGAACAAATAGTTTTCCAGCCTGCGGCCGTTTTTTTCTAATCGTCATCCCGGGCGCCGCCGCGTGAACACGACCCCTGGTCATTTATTAACCGTCATCCTCCATTATGTAAAACAAACGTCCGTTTTTAACGGAGCGTTTGCAAAGGTTCTTGGGTTGCCGCACGCGCACTTCCTCGCCGTCACCCTCATCAGCACCGCCGTGTGACGTCATCGTCCTCGACAACCGCCGGAGCAACCGCAATCGTCAGCCAAGCACCGTCATCACCGACACATGGACATTATCATCACCATCGGCGGCACCAACATCGGCGCCGTCATTGGCCTTGGCATCGTCGTCGTCATCATCGCCACAGATATTGCTACATACATTGCGTACCCAGAAAGCCAGAACTCATAGGTTGAGGTCCACCGTGGTAAACTCTATTGTTCGCTTGATTGACCATGTTTCTTGAACGCTGGATGCCAAAGTTTCCATGTAGCTTAATATGCGCGTCGGCAGCTTCAGCAAGAGTGATTCTTTCTGACGTCACATTCTCTGCTTACCCATGCCAGGGCAACTGAAGTCAGCGTCGACCATCCAAACAGGAAGAACGACTCTGAACTTAAATTAAATCCCTGGAGCTCTCCAGGGGCGCGTCTTGACCAGGACTCCGAAGGGAATCCAGCCAGCGACGAGCAGCCTCCTGGAGGGCTCGAAAAAGAGAACCGCCAACGAGTACCTCGATCCCTCCTTCCCTCCCCCTTCTTCTTCTTCTTCTCCCCCCTTTTCCTCTATGCAACCCAACCAGTCCAACCTCCAGCCAACACCCAACCGCAGAACTCCAGTTCCCGAGTCCACATCATTCCGACTTCCAGCCTCAGGCTTGCAGCCATTTGTATAATCATGTGCGTCAAAGATCTGCAGGGCCTGAGATGGTACGGCCCCACGCGCCTTGCCCAAACGGGCTCAGACACACGCTTCTCCGCATGAGCCTGCACCCGCGCCTCGCTCGCTCGCTCGCCCTTCCTCCTCCTCCTCCTCCTCCTGCTCCTCCTCGTCCTCCTCCTCCTCCTCCTCTCCTCCTCCTCCTCCTCCTCCTCCTCCTCCTCCTCCTCCTCCTCCTCCTCCTCCTCCTCCTCCTCCCCCTCCTCCCCATCTCCTGCTGAACGCGCTCCAGCACGTCCTCGGCCATGGCCGGGCCGTGGTGGTGGAAGCCGAACGCCCAGTTGTTGGCCGCACCCCCCTGGCGGACGCAGGCGCCCGTGGCCCTGGCGGCGGGACGCGCCCCGGCGGGCCGGCCGCAGCCGCCGCCGCCACCGTCGCCACCGCTGAGCTCGTCGTGGTGGCTGTCGTCGAGCTCGTCGTCGTCGAGCTCGGTCGACGCCGTGGTCGTCGTCGTCGTCGTCGTCGTCGTCGTCGTCGTCGTCGTCGTCGTTGCTGGTGTCAGCGTCTACCTTACGGCCGTCATCCGTCATCGCCGTCCCTCTGCGCCGTCTGCTCCTCCTGCTGCTGCGTCTTCTGTCGCCTCATGCTCTCCTTCCTGCTGCTGCTCCTCCTCCACGCATCCCCCTCTTGAGCTCGAAACGCTCGGGGAGAAGTCTGACCACAGACATGCCTACGAAAGGCTAAAAGAAACAACTGTGTGAAATACCTGCTGCCCAGGGAGGGGGATGGGAGCGGTGATGCAAAGGAGGAGGATGAGGAGGATGAGGAGGGTGAAGAGGAGAAGGAGTATGAAGAGGATGAGGAGGAGGATCAGGCGGAAGACGCGGAGGAGGAGAGAGAGGTGGCGGAGGTGGAGGCCAGCAGGGAACGGCGATGGAGAAAGCAGCAGGCCGAGAGAATGCCTCGGTGAGAGATGGCGCACGGAGGACGCCGAGAGAGCGAGAGAGAGAGAGAGAATGAGAAAGAGAGAGAGAGAGAGAGAGCGAAACACAAAAAAAGAGACTGAGAGAAAGGGGGGTGATGGGGGCGGGAGGGACACAGGGAGGAGGCGGAGGAGCAGGAGGAGGACGAAGAGGAGGAGGAAGAGGAGGGGGAGGGACGAGGAGGAGGAGGAGGAGGAGGAGGAGGAGGATGGACGAGGGCGGCGGCCGTGGCTGTCCTGTACTGCCAGCGGCCTCGACGCTCGGAGCCGGGGTGGAGGCACCTGCCGCTCCCACGCTTGCGCGGCAGGCCGGCTGGCCGGGGAGCAGGCTCTCCTGCTCCTCCTCGCCTCCCTCCCCCCTCCCCTTCCTCTCCCCCTCCTCTTTCTCCCTCCCCTCCTTCCTCCTCTTCTTCCTTCTGCTCCTCCTCCCCTCCTCCTCCTCCTCCTCCTCTCCTCCTCCTCCCTCTCTTTCTCTCTGTCCTCCTCCCCCTCCTCCTCCTCCTCCTCCTCCTCCTCCTCCTCCTCCTCCTCCTCCTCCTCTTTCTCCTTCTCCTCCTCCTCCTCCTCCTCCTCCTCCTGCTCCTCCTTCTCCCTCCTCGACTTGCGAGGATCAAGGCTCCATGTGTCCTCGTTGACCCCTTGGGCAACCATGTAGGGCCCTCCCCCGCGGCCCTCTCCTGCGGGCCTGCGCCTCCTCTCCGCCGCGCCGCGCGTCCCCGCCGCTGCCTCCGCGCTGCCCTGCGCTGCCTCTTAGCGCTGCCCTGCGCTGCCGCTTAGCGCTGCCCTGCCTGCGCTGCCCTGCCATGCCGCTGCTGCTGCCATGCCGCCGCAGGCTGCAGCCGCCGCAGGCTGCGGCCTGCAGCAGGCTGCAGCCGCCGCCGCCGGCCGCCGCACTGCTGCTGCTGCGGGCGCCGAGGGCAGGGACTCCAGGCCCGCCACAGCTGGGGGAGCCGTGGTCCTTCACCCCCCCGGGGGGGACCCATCGGCTTCGACACCCCTCTCGAGGCATCGTCGATGCGATGGGTTCCCCCTGGGGGGGGTGAGGACCACAGCTCCCCCAGTTCTAGCTGGTCGGGGGATGCGCTCCTTCGGCACACCCTGGCTCGTGCCCCACACGGTCGGGAAGGTTCGCACAGCGTGCCGCGGCGGCGGAGCCCAGCGACACGCCGTGCCATGTGAGCGGACAGCGCGTCGCTCCGCTCCGCGGGGCGGGACGCTCGGAAAGGCTCGGGAAGGTGACGCTTGGGGACCAGGAAGTAGATAGCGTGCCGCGCCGAAGCGTGGTGGGCCACAACCAGCGGAAGCACACGCTTTCCGAAAGCTCTTGACCGTAGGCTCATAGGGGACTCCCACTGCCACAGGCCCCTGCCTCAATTCGACAACACGGCTCATGCGGTTCGCGCCCCAAAAGGGGGAATTTCAACTGCGGCCCCTACGAAGGCTCCCCCGCCTCAATCTGGCAACAACCTGACGCGCAGTGTGCCCCATTGGGAGCTCCAACTCCATCCCTCCTGCGGCGCGCAGCGTATGAGGCAGGAGAGGGCCACGCCCTGTGCTACACGCAGCCGCTCAAGGTTGTGCCCTTCGCTGAGCGAATTTTCAGTGAGATTCTGGCCGTATGGCGGTATGGCAGTCGGTTTGCTTGCTCCTCGCTCCCCGCGGTCGTCAAATTCGCCACACGGCCCGGATCTGCCTGCACGCTCTCGCTCCCCCGCCGCCTCCGCCGTTGTGGTTATCGGAATCGTTGGCGTCACCGCCACCAGTCCGTCATGTAGTCGTCAGCCAAGCCACGAGCGCGCGATAGCTGCACGACCGATCGCCGGGTCCTGGCGCGGGTCAGAACAACACGCGTGCCCTAATCCGTTGAGAACCTTCAACTTTGTATTTCAACAACTATTCAAACCTGCTCCTCCTCCTCCTCCTCCTCCTCCTCCTCCTCCTCCTCCTCCTCCTCCTCCTCCTCCTCCTCATGCGCGAACCTCCTCCTAGCTCTGCGTCCTCCCCCTTGTCACTTCTCTGTCCCCGCCTCGTCGTCATCGTCCACCTCATCATTCCTCCTCAACCTCCTCTCCCCCCCTCCTCATTCTCCATCGCCGTCGTTCCTCTTTCTGACCTCCCTTCCTCCTTCGACGGCGGCGACAGCCGCCACCACCACCACCACGATGACAGCGGCGACGCCGCCGCCGACGACGACGGCGACGGCGACGACGACGGCGACGGCGGCGGCGGCGGCGAACGGCGGCGCGGCGGCGACGACCGGCGGCGGAGGCACGACCGGCGGGCGGCGGAGGCGACGACGGCGGGGCGCCCCTCGACTGCCCGGGGCTCGGAGTCCACGAGCACGGCGCGGGCGCGCGGCGGCGCGCCGAGGCCGGCGGCGGGCTCCTCTGGAGGGAGGGGGCCCTCGCCCTCTGTGGTGGGCACGGGCAAGTGGCCAATGCCGGGGGCACGAGCTGGCCTCTCCCCTCCCCCCCGCCCTGCCCCCTCCCCCTCCCCCCCCTCAACCCCTCACCCCTCCCGCCTCCTCTCCTCCTCCTCCTCCTCCTCCCCCCTCCTCCTCCTCCTCCGCCTCCTCCTCCTTCCTCCTCCTCCTCCCTCTCCTCCTCCTCCTCCTCCTCTCCTTCTCCTCCCTCCTCTCCTCCTCCTCCTCCTCCCCTCCTCCTCCTCCTCCCCCCCTCCTCCTCCTCCTCCTCCTCCTCCTCCTCCTCCTCCGCCCTCCCCTCCTCCGTGTCCTCCTCCCTCCTCCTCCACTCCTCCCTCCTCCCTCCTCCCTCCTCCTCCTCCTCCTCCTCCTCCTCCTCCTCCTCCTCCTCCTCCTCCTAGAGTCGTAACTCGAGATCGAGGTCGGTTCGGGGAGGGTGCCCTCGTGTTCCTCGTGCTAGTTGGATGTTCTTGTGCATCCCGAGGGGGGTACCCTGGGATGTTGTGCCCGTCCTGGCCGAGGGAAGGTCTCATGTCCTTGAGGGATGTTCTTCTGGCCTAGGTCCGACTGGAAGGACCCGTGATTCTGCCGCATGGGCGCCAGATCCATGGATTTGGGAAACTACCCCCGAACGCATGGAGCCAGTGCTGGAACCGCATGCGAACCCTGCCACTGGGGCCTTCGGTGGAGCTCCCTGTGGGGCCACGAAAGGTGTGAGGGGCGCAGGGGACGGAAGGAGCGGGATGAGGAGAACGACAAGGACCTGCGGAGCGCGGAGGGCAGAGGCAGGGATGGGAGGAGGGAGGAGGCGGGAGGACGGAGGCGGGAGGAGAACGCGGGGCGCTGCCTCTTCAAAGCGGGGGCCCACCACCACAGGGTGGCTGGGAACAAACTACAAAACTGCACGGCCCCAGCCCACACGCTCGATCACTCACCAGATGCGAGCGGTGCGTGCTCGCTCCCCCTATAGGAGCCGGACCCACGCGCAAATCGAGGCACGTCGTACGTTTCCTGCGCATATCCGCTTCCAACTCTTTCTCTTCCGGCCTTTTCCCTTGCAGGCCGGCGGCTTGGTGTACACCACCTTGTGTGCGCATGTGTATATCCGCATTGCATGCGTGTGGTATTAGGGTATAATAAAGACGCGCGCGCGCTTACGTTCTAGCGCATGGCAACGCAACGTCGTAAAACACATACCTTAGACGAACGTCCGCGAATCGAGCGCAGGCCAGGGCAAAGTCACGCGATGCTCCTTGGGGGCATGTGCGGGGCCTCCTGTAACACCCATGCCGGGAACTTGTTGGAAGCATTTGGGGTCGTTTGGGGAGCCATTTGAGATTCTTGGGGCCGGGCGTGAGGGACCTCTCCTCGGGCTCCTCGGGCGGAGGAGGAGGAGGAGGAGGAGGAGGAGGAGGAGGAGGAGGAGGAGGAGGAGGAGGAGGAGGAGGAGGAGGAGGAGGAGGAGGAGGAGGGAGGAGGAGAGGGCGGATGGGGGGGAGAGGAGGAGGGGAGGGAGGAGGAGGAGAGGAGGGAGGAGGAGGAGGAGGAGGAGGAGGAGGAGGAGGGAGGAGAAGAGGAGGATGAGGGAGGGGAGGCAGGAGGAGGAGGAGAAAAAAAGGGGGAAAAAGGAGGGAGGAGGAGCAGAGGAGGTCAGGAAGGAGGAAGAGGGCTCGGTATGTGTTGTGTCCTGGGGTGGTCTGGAGGGCTTCCTGACCGTCCAGGAATGCATCGGGAAAAAGGGGGAAAAAAAATAGCCGTCCGTGGGCAGGTCCCCCCCGGAGGGGCCCTTCTAACTTCTCGGGCGCCTCCTCTCGGAGGCCCTCTTGGAGGCCTTCTCTTGCTTGGAGGCCTCTGGCGGCTCCAGAAAACGCCTCTCGAGGTCGGCTGGGGCGTCTTGGTGGGCAATCTTCCTCCTCCTCCTCTCCTCCTCCTCCTCCTCCTCCTTCCTCCTCCTCCTCCTCCTCCTCCTCACCCCCTCCTCCATTCTCCCTCCGAGGTTTTTGTTCCCCTCCCCCCGGGAGCCCCTCGCCCCCCACCCGCCCACCCCTGCGCAAAAGTTCGCGAACATCGTCCTCTCTGCTTCTGTTCCCGGTCAGCTACTTGGGCCCCCCGGGCGGCTCCAGGGCAGCCGAAGACTGGCCAAGCACGGGTGCGGTACGCCTTAAGACCACGCGCAGAGGGCGCAACGAGCCCTCACAGGCTCCATGATGACCCAACACAGCCCAGAGAGAGAACCCCATGGGGGGGCCTGCGGCGAGGCTCTACAAGGCGAAGCGCATTGAGCAACTCATGAAACCATCACCTATGCTTCTAGGCTGGCTGATCGCCTCGGAAACCTCCAGGGAGCCTCACGATGTTACAAACACTGTTCAAGAAAGCCTCCCAAGAGCCCCAATCCAGGCACAGGATGACTCGAGGTCCCCCCAAGACTGCCTAAGACTGCCCCAAGCGGGCTCCAAGCCCGCCCAGACGTCCCAGGAATGGTTCAACCGAGCCTCTCTGGGAGAGCCAGTGGAACCATCGCGCCCAACGGCTCCGAGAACCCCGACGGCCCCCCCCCCGACGTCACCAGGACGCCCGAGGAAGCCCCCAAGAGGTCGCCAGGATCATGGAAGAGGGGGAGAACGAGGCTGCGGACAAGGCAGGGATGTTTCAGGCAAGGCACTGAACCAGAACGCATGGCTGCGCTGGCGTGGTGGCGAGCCGTGACGTAGCAACTGTGTACACATGAACGCCGGGGCCAAAACTGAATATGCATCCACGCGCAAGAAGCATAACAAAACAGCGGGCGAACTAAGTGCCCCCCTCTATTATTCCCCTGGAGTGAAGTCGTCCCGGCGAGTCGCATGTACGGATGTACGGACAGCAGATCGACAATAGCACCTCGACAGCACACAGACAGCACCACGCAGATGCACCACATAGGCAGCACATATACATGGTGATAATCCCATAGCCCTGCCACGCGTTCGTGATGATGTTGCTTCTCAGCAGAAGAACTCGAGAATCTCTGAGACCTGGCCGCTCTGGAAGATGTCTCGGGCACCGCGGCCTTCTCAGAGCGTTCCGGAACGGCTCTGTCCTCGTCCTAATTCGCCCCGTCCGCTCCTCTCCCTCCTCGACGCGGGAGGGGGCACGGGATGCTCAGGAGGGAGAAGCTGAGAAAGGGGCACGGGCGAGAAGGATAGTTAAGGCGGACGGCGGAAGGATGTCCGGCGATGCCCCTCGGGCTCCCGTCGCCCTGCCCACTCCCGGGGCAGCGCCCGCGCAGCAGCCGCGACATGTGTGTGCTGGCACGCCATGCTTCGGCTGCGGGCGGCTCGGCATACATCTCCGGTAGTATCAACCCAGGAGCGCCTGCAAGAAGTCGAGGAGCAGGCCCCCAGAGCTCGGAGGAGGAGGAGGAGAAGGACGAGGAGGAGGAGGAGGAGGAGGAGGAGGAGGAGGAGGAGGAGGAGGAGGAGGAGGAGGAGGGGTAAACCTTCATACTGTAGTGTCATCGCAGGCGACCGGGCAGGAGGCAGGGAGAGGAGGAGCACCAGGAGGGCACCAGCATAATTAACATCCTGCCGCTCCTCAGGCCTCATCCACGCCCGGCAAGGCCTTGAGGCATAGTCCTTCCATACGTGGCCCCCGCAATACCTACCCTTCAGTCGGGCGTGTCGTGCCCCCCTGCAAGGGGATTTTCGACGAAAAATAAAAAGTCCTCATACCCCAAATGGTCAAAGATACTCAAAAAATAATCCCCTGACGATTTTCTGACCATTTTTGAAGTTTCCTCCTGCAGAGGGACAGGCCCGACTTAAACCTACCCGAAACAGCTGGAGCCTACACTGCTTGAGCAGGGACCGGCCGTCCCGGCATTCCTATAGTCCTACCACGAAATGTTCTTTGAACCCAAAAATGTCCCGAGAACAAAAACAGTGTTCTTAGAACATAAGCCCGACGTGTTGAAACAAGACACTCTCGAGCAAACATGTTCTGGGAACATTTCGTGGCAACCACAAAAGGCTCTTAGAACAGTGCTTGGTAGGGCTACAGGCGAGCCAGGACGCTTCGCCACTGCCTGAACTGCGCCGACATGCCAGGGCACGGCCGGGGCCTCGCGGGCCCCTCCCTCGTTGCGGGGGGGCCTCCCTCTCTCGCGGGCTGGGCCAGCCCGTGCGGTCCTCCGGGGGATGCCCCCCGGGGCGGTGCGCAAAACACACGCGCCTGCCGTGCACTCCCTCCTCGCGGGCCTCCTCCGTCCTCGGCGTCGCCGTGGCCGTCGGCCGTCGTGGCCTCGGTGCGTGCAGCTCTGCTCGTGGCTCGCGTCCCTCGCGCGGCGGCCACCGCCGCCGCCTCCTTCCCTTCCCTCCCTCGTTGCTCGGCGGTGGACAAACCTCCCTTTAGTTGAAAACGGCCTGGGGCCGAGACCGACGGACCTGGACCCGCAAAAATGATGGCCGCGACGCCCTCTCGCGAACCGAAAACGCCAATTCCGTAGTCGACGTGTCAGGGTAGGAGGTCTATCCACCCCCGAGTTGCACCCCCCCCCCTCTGCACAGCAGGCCCTGGGCCTTGCCCGGAGCACGCTCCGCTCGGGATTCCGAAGCGGGCCCGTCCACAGCTGGAGAGAGCAGCGCTAGCGAATCAGCTCCCCAGCGCCTCCATGTATCTCAAGGGGCCCTGGGACACACAAATCCGCCGACCCTGTCGGCGTGTGTGAGGGGCTTCTCCGTTCGACTTGTCGTCTCCGTCGTCTCCGTTCTCCCCCTCCCAGGGCTCTCCTCCTCGAGCGCGCTATCCAAAGCGAAATTAAACGACGTCGTAGTGGAGTCGAAGGGAAGCCCCTTCCCTTTGATCCCTTCCCCGCAGGGGGGGGGGGAGGGGGGGGGGGCCGGGGCAGATGCGACGCCCGCCGGGGCGCACTTTCCTCGAGCGGGCACGCACGGGATGCACTTCCTCCTCCTCCTGGTCCTCCTCCTCCTCCTTTTCCTCCTCCTCCTCCTCCTCCTCCTGCTCCTCTCCTCCTTCTCCTCCTCCTCCTCCTCCTCCTCCTCCTCCTCCTCCTCCTCCTCCTCCTCCTCCCGCAGAGGCGTCCCGGGAGCGGGCCCCGAGTCAAACTACCACCCCCCTAGGGCGCATTTTCCTCGAGCGGGCACGCCCGAGATGCACTTCTTCCTCTTCCGGGAGCACGTCCCAAGTCAGAATATCACACTCCCGGGGCGCACTTTCTTCGAGCGGGCACACAAAGGATGCACTTCCTCCTCCTCCTCCTCTTCCTCCTCTTCCTCCTCCTCCTCCTCCTCCTCCTCCTGCTCCTCCTCCTTCTCCTGCGTACCCTCTGCTCCTCCTCCTTCTCCTCCTCCTCCTCCTCCTTCTCCTCCTCCTCCTCCTCCTCCTCCTCCGTTTCCTCCCCCTACTCCTAGCCCTTTCGATCAGGGTCGGCGGCACCGGCCGTCAGGCCTCTCCAATAAATACACACAAATGACAGGATTCCCAATCTTTTCTAATATTTTTTGGATTCTTGTCTTCCCCCCACTTCCCATATCTTCCCATATGTTCTGGGGAATCGTCGATGAATTCTGTCTGTCTGTGTGTGTGCTGTTTTCCCTCCTGGGTATCGAGGACAGGCGCCCGGCGGCGGGGCCGAAAAGCCGGCTACTCGCAGCAGATCCGTGCCTCGCGTACGCCCACCCTTTTTCCCCAATTAGGCCCCCTTTTTCCCCAATTCGGCCCCCTTTTTCCCGCTTTTCCTAATCCGACCCGACGCAGGAGGGGGAGAAGGAGCGGGGAAGAGGAGGAGGAGGAGGAGGAGGAGGAGGAGGAGGAGGAGGAGGAGGAGGAGGAGGAGAACGGCGAACGAACTTGCCTCCATTCAACACCGCTCAAGTACCAACCCCTGTACCCTGGACCCCCTCCCCAGAGCCCGTGCTGGCGAGCCTTTCGAGCAGATTTCATTCCTTCCGATCCTTGATGAGGAGGGAGGAGGGAGGAGCGAGGAGGAGGATGAGGAGGAGGAAGGAGGCGGATGAGGAAAGGAGGAGGAGGAGGAGGGAGGAGGAGTGGGAGGAGGAGGAGGAGGAGGAGGAGGAGGAGGAGGAGGAGGAGGAGGAGGGGGAGGAGCAGGAGGAGGAGGAGGAGGAGGAGGAGGAGGAGGAGGAGGAGGAGAGACCACCCCCCAGGCCGCGACGAGAGCCTCCCGAAAAACGCCTCCGGCAGAAGCCTCCGAAGCCAAGGACCAACACGCCGACGAAGGACGGCGTGCGACGCCTCGTCGCGCCGCCCTCTCGCCGCTCCCGCCAGCCTGACCCAGAAATCCGACGTCTCGATTTTTTTCGAGACGCGGGCCCCCGACCTCCCGACCACTTCCCTGGGACCGGTTTTTCATCCCGAGTCGTTTTTTGACGGTCCCGAGGCCCGGCGAGGGCCCCGAAAGGCCAAAAACTATGAAAAGCCTCTTTCTCGATTGTTTCGAGACGCCCGATGTCTGGGGACTCTGCCAACAGGCCGGCGACGCCGGCACGCCGGCGACGCCCGGCGACGACGCCGACCGACCCCACGGGGCCTCCGTGAAGTACACCCTCCGCACGGCGGCGGCGAGCTCGGGCCGCGCCGAGGCGCCCTCCGCGTGCAGGGCCTCCGGCGCCGGCGGCGGCGGCGGCGAGGGCCGAGGGGATGGCGATGCCTCGAGCATCCTCCTCCTCCTCCTCCTCCTCCTCCTCCTCCTCCTCCTCGCTCCTCCTCCTCCTCCTCCTCCTCCTCCTCCTCCTACCTCCTTCCTCCTCCTCCTCCTCGTCCTCCTCCTCCTCCTCCTCCTCCTCCTCCTCCTCCTCCTCCTCCTCCCCCTCCTCCTCCTCCCTCCTCCTTCCCCTCCGAAGTTTCTGGCAGGATAGTTGCATGCACTGTTCAGCATAGGCGGGAGAGAAAAAAGTTTGCAGCATGGCTTCCCCGCCTCCGCAGCCATTTGCCGCAGAGGCTCCCAAGCGGTGTGGTGATCTCACCGCACGGTGAGTCAAGGGGGATTCGGGGCCACCGCACGGTTTTGGGACTCGGGTCGCTCTCCGAGGACGATTCGGACGACTGGGGCCTCCGAGGTCACAAGACCGTGCGGTGACGGACCGCGCGGTGATGTCTCTTGGGATTTCGAGGTCACCACGCGGTCCGTCACCACACGCTTCGGGACCCCCCGCGATGAGCTTGGAAGCTGCACCGGCGGTGGCATGGACGGAGCTCCGACAATAACACAGGGCTAGGATCGGGATAAATCGCTCCAGAGCGTTCTGGAGCGCTCTCAGAGCGTTCCGGAACGCTCTGGAGCGGCCGCAGCGCCCAATACATCCTCCAAACCCGCCGATTCTCAGAGATTTCGAGTTATCCCGATCCGATTTTGACCCGATCTTCGCATCGTTTTAGACAAGGGAGGGGAAGGGATTACTAGGATCACCGCCGAGACAACCGTCTGAAAGATGACGGGCACAAGCAAAGCGGGGGAGGCTCGGTTGCGCGGCCGAAATCGTTCACACAAAAATCGGAGGCCTAGAGATTGACACCAACACAAAGATCGGCGGTGTGCCTCCACCGAGGGAAGACGATCCCGATCTCGGTGATGGGGGTAATATTCTGGCCTCCAAGGTGACCGAAATATTGCCACCAGCACCGAAATCTAGGATCATCTTTCCCATGTGGAGGCAGCCCCCTGTGTTGGTGTTGGTGCCCATTTCTAGGAATGCAGAAAAAATGGGAGCGGTCAGGGCACCATGACAGCAACACCAAGTGTGCACCTCCGTGCGGTCAGAAAGCAACGCAGGCTGAACTTTCACCCTATTTAAGCAAACCCGAAGGCCGCGAAGCGCGAACCATTCCCTCCGCACAGCCGCAGCTCAGCTAGCGGCCCCCCCCCCCAAAGTTGCCGACCCAAACCTCCGCCTCAATGAGGTCGGGATCCTGGAACACTCACGACGACCAGGCGGGCCAAAGGGCCCGTGCAGACACGGTGCCAGAGCCCCCCCCCCGCCAGTCCCCTTGCCGAGAGGACGACGGCCAACGTCAAGTGGCAGGACGGGGCACCGGCCCGGGAGGAGGGATGCGGGGACGAGGGCGACGAGGCTTCAGAAAGACACGGCTGGTCGCCGCGGCTGAACTCGCTTCGAAACTCTCGCCAGCGCGCTCCAGAGGGGCACGAGGGCCGAGTTCGAGGGGGGAGGAGGAGGAGGAGGAGGAGGAGGAGGAGGAGGAGGAGGAGGAGGAGGAGGAGGAGGAGGAGGAGGAGGAGAGAGAGGAGGAGGAGGAGGAGGACGACGAGGGCGACGAGGCTTCAGAAAGACAAGCTCCGAGATCCGAGCTGCAGGGGGGGAGGGGGAGAGTAGGGGCCCGAGAGGGGGCACGAGGCAACGAGCGGGCACGAGGGAGCGGCTCAGGGCGGCCCGAGCAAACTACCAGCCGTTGGTCGAAACGTTCTCCGCTCTTCTCTCTGTGTCTCTCTCTCTCTCTCTGCAGCTGGACTGCTTGCAATCCTGGCTCGTAGCGACTTGCGACGTCCTGTTTTTCTTGCTTCGTGTTTCTCTCTCTCTCTCTCTCTCTCGTTTTCTTCCTCTCTCTCTCTATACAGCTGGACTGCTTGCAATCCTGGCTCGTAGCGACTTGTAACGTCCTGGTTTCAGAGGCCCTGAACGGTCCTCGCTTGCGCCGTGTCATGTGTCCTCCTGCGCGGGGGGCAGCGAGCGACTCTTGAGGGGGCAGGTCTGTGGCGAAGGGTGGTGTTCGGGAAGAGTGGTGCGGGGCAAGCGCCGAAGGCCCTCGGGGCGAAGCAGGCGGATATGAGCTGAGCAAGCACAGCGGCAAAAACTGCCTTGGTGAAGTACTCCCGAAATCCTTTCCACAGCTCTTGATGACGGCACCAGTAGGTCTCACCCCCCGCTCCCCCCTAGAGGTCTCCGGGGGTCTCTGGAGGCCTACCGACTGCCAGGCACGTTTCAGAAACGTCGCTGCTCGATCCACCTTCTCATCATCCTTCCTCACTCGGGCGCCGGCAATGGCGCGATACATATTTCACCGAGCCGTCGCGACAGCAAGCGGCGCTTGAACGGTACCAGCTCGGGCTGCACGCCGTGTCGACGACAAGCAGGGCGAGCGACACTTGTCAGCAGCACCGCTTGGTCGGCAATTGCCAGCAGCATCCCTCGGTTGACATCGCCTCACTCGGGCGCCCGCCAACATGGATCGGGGATGGACAGACCTCCCCTTAGCAAAACGTGGCTTAGTGAACACGACTTCGGGCCCAAACCTGGCGGGCGCATGCCTGGAAAATAACGGCCGCGGCGCCCTCTCGAGAACCGAGAACGGACAAATCACTGATCGACGTGTCAGGGTAGCAGGTCTATCCTTAAGTCGGGCCTGTCCCCCTACAGGGGGATTTTAGACGAAAAATAAAGCATACCCCAAAAATAATCAACAAATAGTCCAAACATAGTCTGGGGACTATGTTTGGAGTATGTCTGAACCTTTTTTGGTGTATTTTTGAGGTGTTTTTTATGTTTCGTCGAAAATCCCCCTGTAGGGGGACACGCCTGACAGAAATCTATCCACCTGCGAATGGACTAGGGGTCCGTGGATCCGGTAGGAGGAGGAGGGAGGGAGGGAGGGTAGGGGAGGGAGGAGGAAGGGGAGCAGGAAGGGTAGTGGAGGAGAGGAGGAGGAGGAGGATGAGGAGGGTAGGAGGAGGAGGAGGAGAAGGGGGTAGGGAGGGGGTAGAGGAGAGGAGGATGATGATGAGGAGGAGGAGGAGGAGGAGAGGAGGAGAGGAGAGGATGAGGATGAGGAGGGAGGAGAGGGGTGAGGTGGAGGGGGGGGGAGGAGGAGGAGGAGGAGGACGTCCTCCCCCCCCTCTGCACGTGCCCGCCCTCCGCCGACCACGTGCTCCAACAACTGCGCAGCGCGGAGGGGCGCAGTGCCGACCGCGGCAGGATGCGCAGGCAAACCCGGGACTCCAGGCACCGCGGACGGCTCTTGACGGCGACGTGTTCGCTCATTCCTTCTTCTTGCTCCTCCTCCACCTCCTCCTCCTCCTTCTTCCCCTGCTCCTCCTCCCTCCTCCTTCCTCCTCCCTCCTCCTCCTCCTCACCTACTCCCCCTCCTCCTCCCCCTCCTCCCCCTACTCCTCCTCCTCCTCCTCCTCCTCCTCCTCCTCCTTCCTCCGCCTCCTCCTCCTCCTCCCCTCCTCCTCCTCCTCCTCCTCTCTCCGACCTCGCCCTCCTCCTCCTCTCCTCCTCCTCCTCCTCCTCCTCCTCCTCCTCCTCCTCCCTTCCTCCTCCTCCTCCTCCTCCTCCTCCCCCTCCGCCTCCCCCTCCTCCCCTCCTCCTCCTCCTCCTCCTCCTCCTTCCTCTTCCTCCCATCCCTCCTCCCTCCGCCTCCTCCTCCTCCCTCCTCCCCCCTCCCTCCCTCCCTCCCTGCCTTATCCTCCTTTCCTCCTCCATACGTCCCTTCCTCCCTGCCTCCTCCTTCTCTCGTCCTTCTCCCTCTTCGCACTTCCCCTCCTCTCCTTTCTTCTCATCCTCCTCCTTGCCATCCTGATCTCACTCCTCCTCCCTCCCTGCTCTCTCCCTCCCTTGTCGCGCCCTCCTCCCTCCCTCATTCCATCCCTCCCTGCCTCCCTCATCCCTCCCTCCCTCTTCTTTTTCCTCCTCTCCTTCCTCCTCCTCCTCCTCCTCCTCCTCTTCCTTTCCTCCTCCTTCTCTTTCCTCCTCCTCCTCCTCCTCCTCCTCCTCCTCCTCCTCCTCCTCCCTCTCCTCCTCGCGCAGCCCCCCTTTCGTCAGGGTATGATGCCGGATCCTGGTACCAGCGCCACCTCATGCGAAGGGCATTCTGTTCAGGTAGCTTGGCCCAAGTCAGCGGAGACAAGAAGGCAGCCCTTTTTTGGGCCGTGGTGGAGGGCGAATTCCCTGTCACCATGGGTTCTCGCTTCAGGTGAGGCACGTGGTTGCCCTCCTGAGCCTGCGCAGCTCGCCCGCAGAATCAGGGGGCGGCGAAGCGGGCTTGTCCGCAGTATCAGGACCTGCGTCGTCTCCATGAGGCGGGACTCCGTTCTCCCCGCAGCACCCCTGGAGTGACACGTCACCTCGAGGAAGGCGGCCGCGAGCGGGACAAGTGACATGCCCTCGTCCCGTTCCGTCGCACCTGTCCGCCGGAGTGCACCCTTCGCGGGCAGGGACCTCTGGCGTCGCATGCACACAGCCTCCACAGCTCCTCCCCCCGCGCAGCCACCGAGAGAGCTCGGAGCCAACCGCCCTGCCGCCCCGCTCTCAACGCCCCCCCGCTCTGCCACCCCGCACGCCGCCAGCGCTCCAGCGGCCGCTGCGCCGCCTGGAGGCCTGGAGGGCCTCACCCCCCAAAGCGCCGCCAACCGCCACCCTGGCCATCGCTCGGACGTCCATTCCCTGTGTTTTTTTCGGTTTTGTGTGTGGCTTATTCGCCAAATGATCAAGGATGCTCCTCGATGGCCCTCTCCGAGGAAAAAATCCACACGTCCGAGCGATGCCAAGCACCTGCGCGACGTGGCGGGGCGACCTCCGCCTCCACGCCAGCACGCAGCCGCCGGACGCTCAGCGCCGCCGCGCGGCCGCCTCCCGGGCGGCACAGGCCGCACCCGCAGCCCTCGCGGCGGCGCGCGAGGAGCGACCCCGACGCGCCCGCGCCCGCCCGGGCCGCCCTGCTCGATGGCGAGCGGGAGGACGGTGCTCCCGCAGTGCTGGGCCTCGTTCAAGGGGCCCTGGGACACACAAATAAATACACACAAATAAAAGGATTCCCCATATTTTCCCATATGTTCTGGGTTTTTGTCTTCCCCCCCACTTCCCATATTTTCCTATAATTTTCGGGGAATCGACGATTGATTAATTGTGTCTGTGTGTTTCTTTCCCTCCTGACTCGTGCTGTCCCGCGCTCCCGAGCGGCACCCCCAGGCATGGCTCGAGGGCTGGGCTTGCCAGGCCGGCCGCAAGAGGGTACCGGGCCGTGGCGTCGACCAAGAAGCGCCGGCCCCTGCCAGGCCACCGCTCGCCCATGCAGCGTTCGCAGATGACGCCGTCCTCGTCGACGTGGTACAGCTTCTGGATGACGCCGTCCTCGTCGACGTGGTACAGCTCCTGAGCCCCACCACCGCCCCAGTGGACTTCAAGTGCTTGGTCAGCACTGCTGCGGCGGCGGCCGAGTGGCACCGCAGCCGGCCCGCCCCTGCGCGGCAGACAGTGGGATGATGCCAGTGAGAGTCGAGCGGGTCGCATGGTTCACCATCACCACTACTCTGCATCGCACCGCAGGGTGGTTTATCATCCCTCCTCCTCCCTCATCCCTTCTCTTTCCTCCTCCACCTCCTCCTCCTCCTCCTCCTCCTCCTCATCGCGGCTTTCCTCACGCTAGGTTGGCGCGGCTAACAGACTCAAGGAAAGGGGCTGACCACTCCAGAGGCACCTGAGGCAACAAGCCCACTATCGGCTCATAGACAAACCCTTGCGCGACGACTATGGTGCGAATGTACAGGATGCGAGAGGCACGGCTTCCGAGGGTGGTGCCCGCATCTGCTTCTTGTCCTCGCCTCTTGTGTGATCGCCTCCATTCTCCCCACGACGGACGGGCCCCTGCTCGCCCTGCTCCGTTCGCCCTGCTCCGTGTACGGCAGGGTAGACGCCACGCGGCCTCACACAGGTATTTGGGCTTTCCGTACCTGCTCTGCCTTTCTCCTGCTTGTCTAGTGTGAGGACAGCCCCCCCAGCCTGATTACACTTTCCTTGCCTGAACTGCCATAGGCCTATTCGTCACGTGGGCAACCAATCCAATTGCGTGCTGACCCAGCTTTGCATGGCAATGCCCCTTCATCTCTAGCCTTCAAGCCTCCTATCCTCAACAAGCATTGCCAACACCCCCGACGCGGCGGTTGGCCGGGTCGACAGGCGAAAGACGCTCGCGCTCGCACGACCAGGCCCCTGGGGTCACAGGCCCGCCAGTGCGCACCTGGCGCCTCTGCAGGTCAAGCTGCGGCGTGCGACGGTGTCAAACCAAGTTAGCCTTCTCGTCCTCCTCCTCCTCCTCCTCCTCCTCCTCCTCCTCCTCCTCCTCCTCCTCCTATCCTCCTCCTCCTCCTCCTCCTCCCCCTCCTAGCTCCTCCTAGCTCCTCCTTCCGCTCCTCCTCCTCCTCCTTCTCCCCCTCCTCCTCCCCCTCTTCTTCTTCGTTCTCCTCCTCCTCCTACTCCTCTCCTCCTCCTCCTCATCCTCCTCCTTCTCCCCTCCTCCTCCCCTCCCCCTCCCCCTCCTCCTCCTCCTCCTCCCTCCCCCCCCGGGACCCCCCGAACCCCCCCGCCCCCGCGCGCGGCCTCGAAGAGCTCATGCCCGAGCTGGTTGCCGCACTGCCCCAGCTGCACCGAGGGGCAGAGGGCCCGGCGAGGTGAGGCAGCGGGCCCAGGAGCACGGGTTGCCAGGGGGGAAGGGCAGAGTTACCAAGAAGGGAGGAGGAGGAGTAAGATGCGGGTGCGAGGAGGAGGGGGGAGGAGGATGAGGAATAGGAGGAGGAGAGGAGGAAGAGGAGGGGGAGGAATGAGGAGGAGGAGGATAGAAAGGAGCCGTTTCTTCTCTTCTTGTTCTCTTCTCCCTCTCCCTTCGCTCTCCTCCTCTTACTCCTCCTCCTCCTCTCCTCCTCCTCCTCATACCTCAGTTTTCCTCCTCCTCCTCCTCACTCCTCCTCCTCCTCCTCCTCCTTCTCCTGCTCCTCCTCCTCCTCCTCCTCTTCCTCCTCCTCCTCCTCGTCCTCCTCCTCCTCCTCCTCCTCCTCCTCTTCATCCTCCTACTCCT